TGGAGAAAAGGGAAAGGCTTCCCTGGACCATCAAGCAGCAATGGATGTGGTGTTCTCCCAGGTCTGGCATCAAATCAACTGCCATGTTACAGCCTTAATCTTTAACACAGGAGGCTGCTCTTTACCACTGAGAAGTAGGCAGGTTTTTAAACCACAAATATGATGCTCAGGAGGGGCTGATAAGAGAGTTTCTTGATGTTCTGACCAAGCAGCTCTGGAGCTTCCCAGTGCCAGCCAAAGGTGTGCCTGCAGCACAGCCAGGGAGTTTCTGGGGCAGGAAACCTTGACTTACTGATGCAGTTGATACAAAGAGCCAAAACACACCTAAACAGGGCAGACCTACAGAAATAACAGCAAAGCCTCCAGGCCCGGCAAGGTACACAGCTGCTTCTTTTCTCAGTTTTACCTAAATGTCATTCTTGTAAGGACTGTAGGACAACAAAGCCATGGAAGAGAAAGGGAATCCTACCTTTATGGAAAAGTACACCTCACCAGGCAGCTGTTGTTTGTGTGTCTGTGCTGAAGTTACTGACATGTGAAAAGTTACAGTGACAGTAAGGCTGGGGTAGGAAGCACTCAGCGAGCAAACCCAGGGGATCTCCAGGGGTTCAAGGCAGACACCACTGGTGCCACATGACAGACTACAACCCATCTGGAAGCCCCCGGGGAGCTCTGAAAACACCAGCTGAGGCTGTACCAGAGCGGCACACCTCAGAGCAGCGAGTCCAGGGGAGTAAAGATCAACCTTACCTGCAGGTCAGGAACACTGCATCTTAAAACACTGTGTGGTGACTCACCAGGCTTCCCAGTGCTTTATATGCCGTACTGTAAGATTTACCAAACAGGTCCCTTTTGAGACAAACTCTGCTACAAACTGAAACCCAGACTGGGAACAGCCTCCCTTGGCCACAAGCAGCTTCAATGCCCTTAATTGATTTATATAATTTATTAATTTTTATTATTTATATAATTTATTTTGTATCATTTGTGCCATTCTAACTCCTGAGTCACAGCCAGCAGCTCCAGTGTTCACAACACACCACGATGCAGGACACACCCTCCCTGTTTAGGGCTCTGGGCACCCTCTCGTTGCTCCCCACCTTCTCCTGACAGCAGAGCCAGCACTGGGTCTCACACCCTGCCTTGCTCCAGCTCCCATCTCAGACAGCCCCATCCTGCTGGGACCAGCTGCCCACAGCCACGACCCCAATGCCTTCTCCCTAAAACCCCACAAGGCTTTTATGGATCTCTGTAACACAAAAGGAGCTGCAGTCACACATCCACACATTCCAGGGCACTGAGCACACAGAGAATCTGCTTCAAACGCCCAACTGCAGCATTAAGACACTTCAGCAGTCTTTTAAGGTGATTAATTCATAAACAGACCAAACATGAAGCCCACAAAGCTTCTGTTCATGCACTAACTATGACACATGCATTTATATTAAAAGATGATTCCTACTGCAGCAGTTCCAGGTATTTAAATGCAAAGATTTTTAACAGAAATCTTTCATTATTTTGAAAACACATTTCTAACTCTGTTTTCTAACAAGAGCTGTAAACCAATACTTAGAAGAGAAATATATTATGTCTTTGGTGGCTTACACTTTGAAAAAATGCAACCAATTACACTCCCCACCCCTAAAGGATATTTTCAACTCAGCTTTAGTTATTGAATGAAAGGAGGAGCTCAAATGACTCAGCTTCAAGCAAATATACAGAAAAAGATTAACCCCTAATCTCAATGCAAAAGAAAATAGTGGAACAAAGTGATTAAGATGGAGGTGTGGCTTGTCAATTCAAATCTTTTGATATTCAAAGACATCAAGCAGAACATTAGCACACTATGACTGCATTACTTTTCTGTACAAAAGTAATTTTGTCGATTTCAGTCAATTTCAAAAATCCCAGTCATTCAAAAACCACAGTCAATTTCAAAATTCAAAGTTTACACAAGGAGTTGTAGTTAAAGTCAGCCCTGTGTCTTCATTCTTGTTCCTCAGTGCTGAGCAGCATGAAGATCAATAAAACATCTGAACATTGGCATTTTTAATCTACAGCCACAAGGCAAGACAGAAGTGTAAAAAGGAAAAGACAGCTCCAAAATTCTGCAGGAAAACCCCCACATTTCCACAGGAAAAAAGAAACAAAAAAAAACCCCAAGCAAAACCCACTGGTGAGCAAACAGGATAACCTCATGAAGGGTTTTTTCCTGGGGGGAGGATTGCCTCCACAAGACTGAGTTAAACATTTCATACCAAAATGCAGCACAATAAACTACAAGGCAGAATATTTCACAAGGGGGCTCCCAGACACCGAGGGGCTGCTGTACATCCCCCCCATGAATTCCCAAGTGTCTGTGCCCATCTCAGCCAAGCCACAGCAGCACCTCCGTGCAGAACACACGCCCAGCTGCGCCGGGAGGAGGGAGGTTTCATTGCAGACCAGCCGGAGCGCTCCTGCACACGCAGCCAAACTCCAAACACAGATGTCACCAGAGGGCACCCTCTCAATTCCAGTGACCCAGCTGGGTTCTGAGCAGGGCTGCAGACAGCCCGCGAGCAGGGATGTGCAGGGGCTGTGGAAAGCAGGAATAACTCTGCTTCTGCAAGGAATTTCCTTGAAAAAAAAAGGAATTTAATCCTCCATCGAAATTTAAAAAAACTAATAATTTACTTATGTAGCCCAGAAACAAAATAATTTCCAGAGTAATCAGAGACATTCATAGAAAAAAATCACTATTATCAACTTCTGTACAACATTATGCTGTAGCACTTGATGGTGCCAACTTAGTCCAGGTGTTTTGGCACCCATGTGGATCATATCAGCTCCCAAAAGCAGGGTCCAAGGCAGGACAGCTCATGCAGAGGTGCCTATGGAAATCCTTTGGCTCTGCTATCAGGTACTACACCTTACAATAATACACAAAAAAATGCATGAGTAGTTCTCAAGCTTTGGTCCATGTATTATTTCTAATGCCCTGTTTAGAGGTAATAATGTTTCAAAACAAACACCTGATAAGTTGAAGCTCATTAAACAAAATAATGCACAACCAGTAACACATGCAATAGGTCAATGTACCAAAAAGGGTCTCAAACCACCAGTTGGCATGAACAGAATGTTATACCCATTTTGTTTAGAAATAAACACCACCATAGTATAACTAAAACAAAGTCAGCTGCAGAAGCAAGCAGTGATAAGAGAAAACTAGGAAATAATCATTGTGCATCCCATATTTTCCAATCCCGAGAAAACCTAAAAAGCTGTGGGCCTATCAAACATTTGATTGCCTGATTATCTATGGATCCCATTTGAAAAGAAATAGTTTCCACCTCTTCTAGCTATCTGTGATTGCAAAGCTCTTTAATTCAGCAGAGGCACAGAAGGAGGGGTACAGGAATAAGAACCTTTTTTCAGTAGAGAAATCTCTCCAATAGTGTCAGTATAGGAAACCTGCAAACAGAGATACACATCCACAGAATTTCACCAGGCCTGCAACTACTATTAAACCCCAAGGCAAGTTACTCCAAAATATTACCTGTCATCACCACTCATCACGGTTTGAAATATATCTACAGAACTGCCTTTCCAGCATCTGCTGCCAGGAAAGAAATAATGCTAAACACACCTCATGTCTCATAAACACCATCTATCTGTCCATCCTCTAAAGCAGATCCCCATCTGCTGGAAAGTAACATGCTCTGAAATTACCCTGGGTTACATCAAAGTGGTGTGATGTGTGTTCATCCCCTGCTTACAGCCACTGTCCACGTTGTCTCTGGTATCCTCATCCCTGTGTGCTGCCCTGTCACTCGTGTCCCCATCCCTGTGTGCTGCCCTGTCCCTCGTGTCCCCATCCCTGGGCTGCCCTGCTCCTCATGTCCCCATCCCTGTGTGCTGCCCTGTCCCTCGTGTCCCCATCCCTGTGTGCTGCCCTGTCCCTCGTGTCCCCATCCCTGGGCTGCCCTGCTCCTCATGTCCCCATCCCTGTGTGCTGCCCTGTCCCTCGTGTCCTCATCCCTGTGCACTGCCCTGTGCCTTGTGTCCCCATCCCTGTGTGCTGCCCTGTCCCTCGTGTCCCCATCCCTGTGCATTGCCCTGTGCCTTGTGTCCCCATCCCTGGACACTGCCCTGTCACTGCTGTCCCCATCCCTGTGCACTGCCCTGTCCCTCGTGTCCCCATCCCTGGGCACTGCCCTGTCACTGCTGTCCCCATTCCTGGGCACTGCCCTGTCCCTCGTGTCCCCATCCCCGGGCACTGCCCTGTCTCTCGTGTACCCATCCCTGTGCCCTGCTCTGTCTCTCGAGTCCCCATCCCTGGGCATTGCCCTGTCCCTCGTGTACCCATCCCTGTGCACTGCCCTGTCCCTCGTGTCCCCACCCCCGGGCACTGCCCTGTCCCTCGTGTCCCGGTGGCGGGCCCATGCCCGGGGCAGCGCCGATGGATAGCGGTATCTCTCCGCCACAGCCTCCGCTCCGCCGCGGCCGCCCTCCGGCCCCCGCGGTGCCCCACACGCGGCCGCGGCTCTGCCCGTCCCCACGCACCGACACCCCCGTCCCTGAGGGCTCCACAGACAGCGAGGGCGGGGTGTCCACGTTAGAACCCGCTCCTCAGCCCCGCAAGCAGGCACCGGGGGGGCGAACATCTCTCCCGAAGCCCCGAACCCTCCGTCCCGCAGCCAGGCTGGAGCCCCGCCGGGTACACACCGGCGAGAGGGGGCTCCGCTCCTCGCCGCCCCCGTGTGAGGAGGAGGGGCAGGAGGAGAGGGCGGCAGGTGGGCGGCGGAGCCCCGGGGGGGCCGGGACCCTCCCCGGATCTGGGAGGGGACGGAGCGCCTCCAATCCCCGGCCGGCAACAGCCCTGCAAGGCCCGGCGTGCGAGCCGGGGTGAAGCCTCCTTTCTTCTCTCCTCCTCCTCCTCTGAGGAGCCGGACAATGAGCCCGGCGGAGGCGGGCGCCGGCTCCCTCCTCCTCCTCCCCGCCGCGACAGCGCAGCTCACCTGCGAGAGGGGGGATGGATGACGGCGGGGCGGCCGCTCGGAGGTGCTGCGGTGTCTGCGCGGGTCGCTGCGCGCCGCCGGCTCCGCAGGCGCGGGGCGGCCGCGGCCACAGTGCCCCTCACACACTCACTCACTCTCGCACACACTCACACACACACACGGCATGGGGGGGGCGCCCGCCCCGCCCGCGCATGCGCGCAGAGACCCCCCCCCAGCCCGCCTCCTCCCGGCGCCGCGCGCGGGCTGCGCACGCGCCGCCTCAGCGCCGCCCGTGCCGCCCCCAGCCGGCGCTGCTGAGGGCGGGGACGTGCGGGGGGATGCGCGCTCGCTCCCTCGCGGCAGCGCTGGGGCTGGGACAGAGCAGCGGGGCCAGACTGTGACCGGCACCACGGTGTCAGACAGACCATGGAGTACAAGGTACTCCATGCCACGTCCCGAAACACCTGCAGGGATAGTGGCTCCGCCGTCTCCCTGGGAAACCCGTTCCAGAGTCCGATTACAGAATCCTAGTATTGTTGAGGTTGGAATGGACCTCTGGACATTATCCAGTCCGGCGGAGCAGGTGACACAGGAACGCGTCCAGGCGGGTTTGGAATGTCTCCTAGAAGGGAGGCTCCACGCCCTCCCTGGGCAGCTGTTCAGCGGTATGCCACCCTCACTGCAAAGTTCATTTACATTTACATCGTCACCCTTTCTGTGAGGGAACTCCTGCTGCTGTCCGACCCAAACCTCCCCTGGCGCCGCTCAGCACCATTGTCCCTTGTCCTGTCCCTTGTGCCCTCGGAGCAGAGCCCGGCCCCACCCGGCCCCACCCTCCTGTCAGGGCCTGTGGAGAGCGAGAGGGTCCCTCAGGGAGCTCCTGTAGTCCGGGCTGAGCTCTCCGTGAGGCGTCGCTCCCTAACGAGTGAAAAGATAATGGGGGCAAGGAAAGGAGCTGGCCCCAAAATAAAAACTATTACATTGCTAAAAGCTCTGTTCTGAAGGGATGCAGTGCAATGAATTCTATGATTTCGAGAGCGAGAGGGTCCCTCATGGAGCTCCTGTAGTCCAGGCTGAGCTCTCCATGAGGCATCGCTCCCTAAGGAGTGAAAAGACAACGGGGACAAGGAAAGGAGCTGGCCCCAAAATAAAAACTATTACATTGACAAGAGCTCTGTTCTGAAGGGATGCAGTGCAGTGACTTTTATGATTTCCTTCTCTGCTCTCACAGTCATTAGGGAATAATCAGTTTATGAGGGGCAAAGCAAGGCCTTCAAGGTGTTGGCAGCGTTTCTGGAGTGAAAGCCTTCAGAAAACCACAAGATTTTGCAAGAGTTGCTCTACAGTCACCAGAATTGGCAGTGCTACTGTCGTGGGGACAGGAGCTGGCATCGCCACCTTCCCATCTACAGCCCCAGCCAGGCAGTCTGCAGCCCCAGTGAGTTATTGCAATAATTAATAGCTACCATTTATACGTATTCTGAATGCTTTGAAAGCAATGCCTAATCTCATTAAATTGTGAATTGACTTGTTTTCATCCTGTTGTGCAGCTAAGACAGTCACTGCTTCCTTCACATCCATGGGAGATGGAGTTGGTAATTTGTTCCTATACTGGAACTGCTGCCATTGCAGCAGTGCATCTGTGGCCACCTGCTATGGGTTTTAATGAAACACAGAGCCACCTGCTATGCAGAATGCCTGATTTTTATTAGACTTGCAGACTGGTGAGAATACAGGTACTATGATGCAGATTAAACAAGTCCAGCAGGCTGGAAAGAGGGTACAAATTTGACAATAAGCAAAGAACAGCATTACTTTTAGGTACAGTGCCATTTCCCCAATTTTAATGAAGCTTAGTGCCTAGAAAGAGAGCACTGTTACCTCTTGTATGTTTTTTTAATTGTTGTTGTTTTGTTGTTGTTGTTTATGGGTTTTGTTTTGTTTGTTTGTTTTTGGTTTGGTTTGGTTTGGTTTGGTTTTTTTCCCATGGTAATCTAGCACAATATCAAATTCATTCTGAACCAGAATAAATGAAGGGAAAATAAAATGCCAAATGCCATCCTGCTGCAAGGTTTTCAACAGGTGAGTCAGTGGATGGAAAGAATGTTTCACCATATTTGGAAGCACAACAATTTGTAATACAGAAATAAGAAAATGTTACAAAGTCATGGAATTATTAAGTTGAAAAAGACCTCTAAAATAATGGAGGAATGAGAGAAAAGAAAAAGTAGTAAAAACACCTCAGAAGGGGGAAGCAATGGGAAATTTCTTTTGTAAGCTATTCTCCTTCACTAAAGCAGGGCACAAACTACTTTATCTGGTAAAAAAAGTTTAGGGGTGTATATATGTATTAGGTGACAAATTTTCAGACATTTTACAATCCTCTCACTAAAATGCTTCCAGAAAAAAACTGCCCAGTGAGTTGTGAGGAAAAAAGCAATGTCAAAGACCCAAAACTAACAGAGATTGAACATGTAGTCATTCATAATTGTGGTGAAAATCCAAAAGAGTAAGGTGTTTTTAATTTTGTTGTAAATACCCTTAAAATAAGCGAGAAAAAAAAGTGGTACAGAAGGAAAAAAACATTTTTAGGGGACACAATATTGCTCCAAATTTTGGGGCAGATGGTGAAGATACTTGGAGTGGCCCAGCTGTGTAGGAAGAAAATATAGAGATTATTATTTTTCAATATTGATAAATAATCATCAGTACAATGCAGTGGATACTGGAGGAAAGAATTCTCTGTAGGCATCACAGAGGGCTCCAAACCAAAGGAAATAGTTTAAGAAATGCTCAGGCATCCTGGGCAGTGCTTCAGTAGAAATCTCTCCTCAGTTTATGAACACAGCCATGGACACAACACATCAAGAGATAAAATGAGAAAACAGGAAAATGTCTCTCTTGCCATCATTTCATATATAAAAACTTTACAGAATGAGCAGGGGGGAGAATGTACATCAGACTGTGAAACTGAAATGCCCAATTCCACTCAAGTTTTACACCAGAGCCCCACATTTAGCTGCTTTTCACCTACAATTCCAGAATCTTTTCCAGAAAACCACCTTACAATACTCACTTGCCAACTCTATACACACAGCTGATGCTCCTTATTATTTTCCAGGTACAGACCTCCCCCATTTCCCTAAATATTCCATTTAAAATACATTATTAGTTAAATAATCCATTTTAAATACATTATTAGTTGAATGTTGCAGCTGTGCAGTTAGATATTCAAATCACAAGCAGCAGTGAAAAGAGGAAATGACTAGATGAAAATATGTGGCAAAATAGTCAGTTGTAATGAAGAAAGCTGCTGTCAGAAATAACAGGAAACCACTGTCCCTTGTGAGGGAATGGGTGCAGAGGGCAAAGCTGAGCCAGCACAGCCATGGGAATTGCTGTGAACACAGCTGGAAATCTCACACAGGACACCACACTTGCCATTGCCAGCTTTCACCCAAAAGGGCAAATTTAGGGATGGTATTTGTCTGGCCAGCTTGCAGAATTCTTCTAGTAGTAAATAATTATTTACTATGGATCTCATAGGTTCTTTTTTGGACATATGTATCTTGTATTTTATTAGGAATTATTATTTTATAATTCACACACCCAACAAGCCGCATCTCCCTACAAGACTTCACTACACCCGACCCTCCCGAATTATAGAGGATATAACATTTCCTTTTGAAAGCAACATCCTGCATCTTCAACATAATCTTCCAACTGAGAGGAGGAAATTTATCTGTCTATTTTTAATTTCACACATGAAAACCATTTTTCCATTAGGCAGCACTGAAGGTGTGTGTGCTTCCATACACAAAGTGCAATGTGCCTGCAGGAGGGACTGTAATGAAATGTTGACATTGCAATCCAGGGCACTTGTTGATGTAAATTTTAAGTCTGTAAAAATGCCAGCAGGGTACAGTTTATGATACTTTTTCATTAACAGAAGGTAGCATAAGCAATTTAGAATAGAACATTCCTACTGTAAGTTACTTTAATGTAATCAGCTTTACTTGTGTGGATTATAATGCAGATTATTCTTCCCCATTTAAGAAAAAAAAGGAGAAATAGCACTTTATTATGGGTGCACATACCATGCTCTGGGATTCAAACTATACATTCATATAAAATCAAATTAATTTTGCTGCCTTTCATCCAAGCTTCCTCAGTACTGCAGAAAAGTACTCAGGAAGAACCTTTTTAATTTGGTAACAAATGATTTGAAATAGTATATCTTACATTTTGGTTAATTAATTACTAAGTAAAGTTCTTCTATCGTTGCCTAAATCTAGAAACAGTTACTGTCATAAGAAATCATCAGTTACAATCAGTTTGATATAAGATGTTCCAACTGGATATCTGCATAAGTATTTTGTTCCCTAAGGAACGAGAATATAGTAGAAAATATTTCATGTGTATAACTGGTAAATGTTATTTTCTATTCTTACTCTTTGACTAAGTTATTCCGTGAGTCTGCCTGCACTTAATTCACACAAGTACATCAGGGTGAGAAACACTAAAGAAATGCAAAATATTGCTAAATTTACTTGTCAACTCATGAAAAGAAAATGGTATAATTTTTTGTTGAAACTGCATAATAATTTCTAACAATTGCAGCACAGTTCTGGTATCTGCCACCTTAATTCTGTTATTTCCTGATTTTACAGTGCTTACCTATACAGGTCTTTTATAAATGCAGTGCCATTAATATTAATTGTGCAATTAATATCCAGGTTCTAGTAAGGGGCACAATCTGTGACACTTACACCTACATACTCCACTTTTTGATCTGTGATCCTGTGTGATGTCCTTGCCTTCATGACAGGGAAAATAGGAGTCAGAACTGGATAAATATAACATTGCTGTAACTACCACCTTCTTCCTCTTTCCTTTTGGAGGATGTTTCTGCTTAATACATAACACAAATATATCAGCTTCTAGCCCTGAATAAGGAGGATGAGCTTCCTGCTTCAATCATAACCAAATGAAATTTTCAGTCCATTCAGTTAAATTTGAAATTAAAAAAATAGTTTAATTGATAAAAATATCTGTAGCAGAGAACTCTGGCTCAAATAGACACTAGACACCCTATGTGTTTAGAGTTTGGAGCTG